AGACGAAGAAATAGGTCTCCCATTTCCGTCTGTCTGTCCGTCTGTCCGTCTGTCTGCCGTCCCGGATTTTTATTAGACAGATAATCTCCGAAAGTACTGGACCGATTGTTGTGAAATTTTGTACTTATATTAGGAATATCATGTAGATGGTAAAACGCTAACCAAAATTTGTCTAATCATCCCCACCACTAATACGATGACGTCACTTCAAAATTGTACATAGTAAATGGGTTTTAAATTGTATAAATAACATAGTTTTACACATGTAGTTTACGACTCCGAATTGAGTTTTTACCCGAAACGTCCAGATTTTTGGAAAAAAAATCAAAATTATAAAACAACATTTTGCAATTTAATTTTGAATCTGCTAACCCGAATGTTTTGAAATGTTGCAGATGTTTTAAGACTGTAAAGAGCATCATAAATCTTTAGTCAAAATATATTTGGTTATTCCCTCCAAAAACTTGATGACGTCAGCTGAAAAGTTTGCCGAATAAATCCTATCTAAAATGTACAAAATATGATGAGTCTGTACTTGTCACTTCATTCATATTTTTTGGATTTGCATATACAGGGTGACTCAAAAAAATTAATGAATGTGTAAATTTATTTTCTTGATTTACTCAGGAACTACAAAACCGAATGCTTTGAAATCTTGAAAATGTTTTAAAATGATCATAAGCATGGTAAATTTTTGATCAAAATGTATTTGGTCGTCCCCTCTAAAAAATTTATGACGTCACCACAAAATTTTGCTGAATGAATCCTATCTAAAATATACAAAATATGATGAGTCTCTTCTTGTGATTTATCATTCCATTCATATTTTTTGGATTTGCATATACAGGGTGACCCAAAAAAATTAATGAATGCATAAATGTATTTTATTAATTTAATCAGGAACTACAGAACCCAATGTTTTGAAATCTTGCAAATGTTTTAAGGTTATAAAGAGCATAATAAATATTTAGTCAAAATATATTTGGTTATCTACTCCAAAAAACTGATGAAGTCAGCTCAAAAGTTTGCCGCATAAAAAATCCTATCTAGAATATACAAAATATGATGAGTCTGTACTTGTAATTTATCATTCCATTCGTGTTTTTTGAATTTGCATATACATCATTTGTCAATAGTGAATAGTTCTTTAATAAAATAACGATCACTAGTTAAATCAATAATTTTTAAAGTTTGGTTTTGCGAAATTTTTCAGGGTGGCCGGTTTTTTACCGGCCAGTGTATATAGTAAGATGATTCACGTCCCATTACCCGGAAAATTTAAAAATAATTCATCCCTGCAGCACAGTACAACATATCCAACTTCTTCGGAAAATTCAGAGACTTGATTTTGCAACTATTATTACTTTTTTACGATAACCCCTGTATGTTGAATTAAAGATATGTATATAATGTTAAAATGTTTCAAGTTAATGTTTCCATTATAAAATTTTCTGTTGACGTCATCAACATTTTTGCAAGGACACATAGTATATCAGTATGGATAGGTGCACTGTAATATTAATAATAACAATACTACAATAAAATAATAATAAACAATCGGAGATTATCCATTTAATAAAAAACAACACAGACGGCGGACAGATAGACAGATATATGTAAACGGGAAACCTATTTCTTCGTACTCTAGGAATCATAAAACGTCAAGAAAACATGAAAGTAGCCATTTGTCCCATGGACCTTATTACAATATTTCCTTGGCTTATGCTTGGGAAGAAAAAATGTGAGATAATAATCTGGCACCAACAAAAACAATCAAAAGAATAATCCGGCTAGTGTTGGAGATACAGCCGTCTCACTCATTCCGTATTCTATGGACACAAAAAGAAAGGCAGCCTGCTTCGACAATGTGAACTAGTGAATAATTTTTGTTGATCGTTCTTTCTTTATTCTCGTAGGGGTAAAATCTATTAAGTTCAAGTAATATATATTGTATAATTCACATAACAATTCCTCAGTTTTGGGTCCATTTTTGTCTTTTAAATTACTTTCAGTATAAATATCCTCGGGAGTCCAAACGGCAAAAATACAATAGCTTTTTTTGTCACTGCTAACTGTCCTTGTACTTGATAATAATAAGAATGATCTCTCGAAAAAATAGGTGCCCGTTTCCGGCTGTCTGTCTGTCCGTCTATCTGCAGTCCTGAAAGTACTGGGCAGATTATTGTCAAATTTTGTATTTATGTTAGAAATATCATGGAGATGGTAAAATGCTAACCAAAATTTGTCTAATCATCCCCAGCAATAATATAATTACATCACTTCAAAATTGTACATAGTAAATGGGTTTTAAATTGTATAAAATAACATATTCTTTCACATGTAGTTAAGACTCAGTGTTGAGTTTTTACCCGAAATGTCTAGATTTTTTGAAAAAAAAAAATCAAAATTATAAAACAATATTTTGCAATTTAATTTTAAATCTGCAAAACCGAATGCTTTGAAATCTTGCAAATATTTTAAAGTTATGATAAGCATGATAAGTTTTTAATCAAATTATATTTGCTTGTCTCTAAAAAATTGATGACGTCAGCTCAATGTCCAAAATATGATGAGCTTATTCTTGTGACTTTTATCACTACCATATTTTTTAGATATGCTTATATAGCGTTTCCCAAAAAGTTAATAACTGAAATCAGGAACTGCAAAACCGAATGCTTCGAAATCTTGGAGGTGTTTTAAAGTTAACATAGGCATGGTAAATTTTTGATCAAAATGTATTTGCTCATCCCCCCTAAAAATGTGCCCAAAATTTTTCTGAAGATATCCTGTCTTAAATGTGCAAAATATGATGAGTCTCTACTTGTGATTTATCTATCACTGCATTCATATTTTATAGATTTGCTTATACGGGGTGTCTGAAAAAAAATAATGACTGAGTCAATTTATTTTATTGATTAAATCAAGAATTGCAAAACTGAATACGTTGAAATATTGACGTTTTGAAGTTACTGTAAGCATGGTAACTTTTAAATCAAAATTATCTGTTTATCAACTCCAAAAAATTTATTACGCCATCTCACAATTTTGCCGAATAAATTCTTTCGAAAATGTGCAAAATATGGTCAGACTATACTTGTAACTTATCATTGCATTCATATTTTTTAGATTTGCTTATACAGGTGACCAAAAAATTAATGAATCCGTCAATTTATTATTGATTAAATTAAGAACGAGCCACCCCATTTTCTCGAAAATGTGAGAATACGCTCGTCTTTATAACAATAAAATAATGATAAGGTAGGAATTATAATAATAACATTTAGAATACGTATTTGGTTCAATTCAGTTTTATGAATAATTTTATTCGTATGTTTTGAGGCGATAAACTCATTCAAATCAAACAAACGCCTACGTGACATTCTTCCGATGTATAAACATTAACATTTTTATTACTACGCATATTGCACATATAGCTCTATTTCCGTTAATAACCAGGATGCAGAAGGTCGAACTTCCGGCACACGTGCTTTTTGCTTTCCGTTGCAATAGTAACCTTAAAATAGCCCAGAAACGTTAAATTGCTAAGTGTTTACGGCGCCGTCAACATCGCTGTTTATAAATAACTCACGCGCCTACAAATATTTTGTGTGTTTTCGGTGTTGTGGAAATACACGTTCTATAAAATTCAAAATGTCCGAAAAATTATAAAATTTAATTTTGTGAATTTTATTTCTACTTTCTGAGTGCAAGCAAAGAAAGTATTGTAATCGAGTCTATCGAGGGACGACTGGCTACTTTTATGTTGTCTCGACATTTCATGACCCATAGAGTATGAAAAATTAGGTCTCGTGGCTCAGTCTGTGCACCGTCTGTTCAGATTTTGATTAGATAGATAATATTCAAAACTACCGGACCGATTGTATTTCATACATATGTATGTTAAGAATATCGAGTAGATGGTTAACCGCTAACCAAAATTTGCCCAAACATGTCATGACATCTCACAAATGTTTATAATAAATTTTATAAAATAGCATACTCTTGTATTTGTTTTATCAAATACAAATTCGCAAAATCAAATTTTTTAATTTTTCAAAGAAGCGGGATATGTGGCATTGAATGAATCTAACAGAATTATGAATTTTGGGTTGATTCGGTGTTTGTTAAGTTGTAGATGAGTCTATCAGATCTTGTAGAAGGCACGCTTGATGTCTAAAAAGCCACACTTTAAAGTAAGAAGAGAGGTGGACATCATGAAGCTCTAAAATGGCATTCATTGTGAAGCGTTGGAAGGCAAGCCAAATAGCGGCTGGGGAATTATATTATTGGTTTCCAAGAAGTTTTTTTAGACGATTTGTGAGAATGATTTAGGTGATGATATTAATGGGGTGATAAGATAATGGGTGTGGGGATCTTTACCTTGTTTAAAAGCCTGTCAAGGCTACGTTGAATCTTCAACCGCAGATTTTCGTAGGGAAATTGTTGAAGATAAAATTTTCTCCATGTTGTTTCTTGTTCCTGGAACTGGATATCCTGAAGGATATTTCTTAGATACCTCACTTTCAAATTTGGTTTTTGGAAAAAAGGACAAATAGATGTCTAAGGAATTATTTCTTACAGTTCTGAGACATACTAATTGTTCACATGAAAATATATTTTTAATTATTATTGAAAATCGTGATTCTCGTACTCCTTTTTTTTTCCTATACCACGCAAAAGCTGGATGTTGTTATATCTTGTGAGCAACATAATTTGTAATCAAGTCATCCTTGGAAATAAATCTGAATGTCTTCTCTGAAATGTTTTCCACTGCGTCTGTAAATTACTGAGTTTGGTTGTAACCATCTAAAAAAAGTGCGTGAAAATTACCGAGTAATCTAATTGAAAAGTTATATGATTCCGTAACAGGCAAAAATATTTCAAAGAACCACTCATAATACACCCATCATCATAAACGAACTGTTTCTTCAGTTTCTTTTCTGAAACCTTTTAACCAGTTGTTACTCGTTGTTTCCGCAGGTAAGGGATAAATAAACCTATTTTTGTAAATGCAAACTCTTTATTTTAACGTGGAGAAAACAAGACCTTTACCATAGTGCTACCATTTACCCTAACGCAAGTGCAGCAATTGCAAATTAAAATTTCCAATGTAGACGGAACTTTTAGCATTTTTGCTTGAAAACAGTTCTACCGTTTAGGGGTTGCACGTTTCGATGATTAAATTTCACAGTTTGATTTTTGGAATCTTTGATGTTTATCAGTTTCTTATACTACGATAAAGTAAAATTTGAACGTTTTTTTTTTTTCTACTTTACTTATTACCTGTGTCTCGGATATATAAGAGGGCTGTGGAAATACTAGGAAAGTTACAATTTCTTCGCAATATGGTTTTGTTATAGATCCGTGATAGCGGTAGAATGTTGTTGTATTTTTTGGTAGGAAATCAGCAACGCGTATTCCTTTCGTCAGGTTAACTGGTTTGTTTATTTTAGTTTGAATTTCAGGTATTTTTTTAACGATTTCCTTAAAAACGGGATTGTCCTTTGAAGATAACTGAAAAATAAAAATAAACTCATCATTTCCTGCAATTAAATTTCAAACCACATACCTGGTAAAAGGAAACGACACTGAGAAACCCGTCTTTTTTAGGAATAGCCTCAGAGTAATTTTTATATTTTGAGTTATAGAAGATCACAACACTTTCCAAAGCATACCGCGTACAATTTACGATATGCTCAGCACGCCAACGAAACTGCATCTGAAGAAATGTGTAAGTACCCTTCAAACCTCCGCCTTTAATGTTTATCTTCAACGACAAATCATTGAATAAAAATCCCACTGAAAATCAAAGACACGCTAACAGTTGCCCGTTTTTAACTTAATCAAAGTCAACCTGTATAATCAAAATTAATAATATATCCTGGATAACGTTTATAAACGTTTTCATTAAACTGTAAATTCTTATAGTTTGTACACGTAACGTTGTCATCTCTAATTGAAATAGGTGCCTGGTTTTTCCCAATGTGGCAATATTTTGCAGGCCATTTACCTAAAAATACGTTCAAATTATAACATAGGACACGAAGAACGAGGCTGTATAGTTTAAAATCAAGCTCATTATAACTTTTTGTAAGAAAAAATTATCGTTTTAGTTATAGATTTTACAATGAATTGCTAAATATATTACAGTAGAAAATTCAAATGAACTGTATAAATCAAGTTTATGAAAACATCTTGCAGAGCAACACGATTAAATCTTAACAGTTCATGCAGAAAAACAATTACGAGTGTGAATATGCGAATAATATTGAAGAAAAAATCACACTAATTTTATAGAATTCCAAATGGGTATCAAAATAAAGAAAGATACAAATTTTAAGTAAATCGTCAAACTACAGAATCCATTCTGGCGTGATCGGTAGCTAAACTACAATTTCGGAGACGATAGCGCTGTCAAAATTTTTGGTCGGGTTTGTCAAGAAACAACCCATCTCTTAAACTGATAAAAAGGACCTTATATCAAATGTTATCTTACACTGGTTTTCAAGACTCCAAGGTATCGGTCTTTCTGAAAATATAACAATAATTAATAATATTTAATCATATGCCCAATTACAAAGTATTTGTTATTATTCTTACCTGACAGAGGGGTTACAATGGGATATTGAGCCAGCGTTAATTCGTTTAACAATAAAATATCTAAAACTGTAAAAGAGTAAATAGTTTTCTTTAAATACTGAAAAAAATAATAAATAATAGTAGTTATTTATTATAAAGGACGATAAAGAAAATCTTTATGTACGGGTGAAAAGTGTTAGTTCATAGGTGACGGCAGTCATGAATGGACCATTTTTCAGGAGTATATAAAGATTCTCTATCGGCTGCATAATATTTTATGTTATTTTGTACCAGATTTTAAAAATATGCGAGTGTGACCATACAAATATTTTCAATACTCCGCGCCGCGCCTTGTCAAAAGCAAACGCGTGGTCATAGATCAATTAATTGTATTGTGTTGTCTTGGCTTCACTTTGTTTATTTAGTTTCATTTTGTAAAATTAGCAAACAATAAACTATTTCATTGCGAAAAACAGAAAAAAAATGGGTTCTGAAGATAGTAGTAATATTTCGGACTACATTACGGTTGCTGCTAATGCAGAAATAGCAAAATTGTTATTGCTTCCGACGATTGTCAGCAGCAATTTTGGCCAACAGTGGAGATGACTTTTTGATCGTGAAAAGTCTTGGTGGCTGGAATCTGTTTCAAAAAAAATTTGGTTGCTGTGCAAGGAAGTTCTATCTAAGTAGCGGAATCATGTTCAAAACGTTTAGAAAGGGGTTTAGTATGTTCATCACTTCATCAGTATTCAACGTTGGACATATTGAACAGTCCACCATAAATAATGTGTACTAATACAAAGCTGGTTCGTCCGGTTTCTTATAATAATTGTTTTGTATTATTATGTATAATGAATTTTGAAAAATAAAAATACATAAAATAAAGAGTAGATAAATAGCTTTTTAATCGTCTAGTGAATAAAAAATTAGCTTATTTACTAAAAGTAAAGCCATACACCCTACTTTTAACAGCCGGTACAAAATAAATATATTTACATTATAGTAAAAAAAAAAGATAATTAAAACATGAAACAACTTGGTTAAGGTAATGTCACTTACATGTTACAAGCACGATGTGGAAACTGCTCATTTTAAAGCATATGTTGTGTATGCCAGGGTGAAACGAAACTGAAATCGTCGTGTTTTGTTGTCGTATTTATAGGTCCCAGAGACTGCATAATTATACTCTCGATGTTGTAAAGTTCAGAAAAAAAAGTAAATGCAGCTATTTTATCTGTAGATAAAATAAATGGATCTGTAACGACCACGTTAGTACAGATTAGGTATTACTAAGTGTTACTTAGACGTTATATTTTATGTTAAAAAGAAATATTACACAGCCATACAAAAAATACACCGATAAAAAATAACCCATAACATACAATGTATCTACAAAAATTCTTGGAATGAAATGTGACAAAATTAGGCAGATTCAATTTTTAATAGACTATAATGTAGACTAACTTAATAATTTTTTTTTAATGATAAAAATTGGTCGAAAGAACCCCCGTCGCTATAGCTTACTAGAAAAAGTTTGAGGGGATGTTATCCATTGGTGATAGGGATGATTGTAGTGATAAAACATAAAAGTATTCCGGGTTGCAGAAGCGAGGAAGAAGTTAACATGGCGTACTGAATGTAATCAAGTTGTTTCAATAAATCACTAATCATCTAAAAGTGTACATATATATGACAGCATTGTCGTACGACAAGGAACCAGAAGAAAGGCAAGTGGCAATTCTTCTTAATCTAATTGGACCAGAGGCAGTCGAGCTACACGAAACATTCAAGTATGGAAAAGGTGATGAGAAGAAAGTAGAGAAAGTATTACAGGCATTTGAAGAGTACTGTAACCCAAAGAACATACTTCATGCAAGATTTCTCTTCTACAATCGCAAACAACGAGAAGGCGAGCCCTTTGATACCTTTTTAACTGATTGCAAAACTTTGGTGCAAGCATGTGACTTCAAGAATGCCGATGAACTCTTGAGGGACAAAATAGTATTGGATGCTGCTGACACGGACACCATCGACACGATTATAAAGTTGGGAGATATCAAGTTAAAAGACGCCATTGAAAAATTTCGAATTGCTCTGAACTGGTAAGAAGACAAACCCAAGAAATACATGGGAAAGAAGTCAACCTGGTAGCTGGAAAGAAACAGGAGAACCAACAGAAAAATGGAAGGTTTGTTCAACAAAAATGGAGAGAAACCCCTTCTTCCTCCTCATATGAGAGACCGAAAAATACAAATGGAAAGTTCCACGACAAGAAGAAGGAGAGATACGAAAGAAACAATGGAAACAGTCCAGGAAATTGTCAACGCTGTGGGAGAAGACACGAAAGACAACAATGTCCAGCAAAAGGCAAGCAGTGTCAGAAATGTCTCAAATTTAATCATTTTTCAAAAATGTGTAAAACGCCAGCACATAATATTTCAAATTCAACTGAAGTTTCCAACATTGATGACGACGATAACACGTATTATTGTAATAATGTTAGGAAATTCAGGGTAAATTCAATCTCATGCAGCAAATTTCTGAAAGTTGAAAATGTAAATGTAAATTTTAAATTAGACACTGGTTCAGATGTTAATTTAATACCATACAATGTCTTTGAAAATATACAAAAAACCACGTACAAAAAAAAAAATTAAATTAACGAGTAGTAATCTCAAATTAGAAGCGTATGGAGGTTCAACAATAAAACATTTTGGACATGTTGATCTAAATGTTAAGACTGATACAATGAATTCCGTTGAAAAATTTATTGTCACCAAAGCTAATTTTACACCGATCTTGGGACTAAGTTCATGTTTAAAATTAAACTTAATCAATATGAAAGTTGATAAAATAGAAAATATAATATATTTCAAAGAAAAGTGTCCGAATTACAAAAGTTATACAAGGCACCACTGGTACGCCATATTTTTTCTACGTCGTTCCGCTCAGCTGTTTCTCTTCTCTCTGCGCCGGTCCACGCCAGCGGCGCCAGCATCACGGGGGCCGGTCCAGTGGCGGCCACGTGGCGGCAGCGGTAACAGTCGGCTACGCTACCAGCCTCCGCGTCCCCGTGGAGCGAGTTGCCCTAAAAGAAGAGGGACCAGTTAACAAACAAATTAGGCTAAATCTCGCCTCAACTATTCCCGAGTTAGTAACCCTATATAACTTATTCTAAGCTTATAATAACATAACCTGTTGCTAGGGGATACTAAGACAGCAACGTAGTGATCTTAGAATTCCACTAGCTGACCTTATGACGAACAACCCTCATGGCTAGTCTCAGATTCTCCGTCGGATTCTGAACTAACTCTCACGTTGTAGGGCTTTAGCTTATCGAGGGAAACGACTCCTCTGTAGCTTCTCTGCGATCGAGAAGAACCTGTCATGTCCTCGACTACATAGCGATCATGTGTCAGGACTTCTGTAATGACAAAGGGCCCACTATACTTTGGCAGAAGCTTCTTGCTTTGGCCCTGGTTACTAGCAGCAATCGTTCGCACTAGAACCTGTTCACCTTTCTTATACGTTCGCCCCGCACGTCGATGTGCATCGAAGGAAGCTTTGCGTTTGCTTTGATGGGCGTCTATACGAGCTTTTGCGTTCGCTCTCATTGCTTGGACGTCTCCTGCATTCTCTGGTTCAATTGCCACTTCGTTGGCCAGAAATGCAGTACCAGTGCTTCTTGGCACGCATCCGAACAGCAACTCGTACGGCGATTTTCCCGTAGACGAATTCGCCGTAGAATTCAGTCCCCATCGCACTGCCGAGACGGCTTCGTCCCATCTTTGTTCATCTTCCATAGATG